ACCTTTCTCTATTTATATTTTACATTTATAGCATGCCTTTCATCCAGGACCTCAAGGCAACATATATGCCATTCCCTTTCTTCTCCAACTTTTCTCCACAGAAGCAAACCTGGGAGGTCGATTGTGCTGAGAGAGAGCAATTGGCCCAAAATTAAACAGTTTCAATGGCTGAAGGTAAGGTGAACCTGGATTTCACCAATACTAGCCCAACACACAATATCAATTGGGGCAGGTATTCATAAGCAAATGCATATGAATTTAGTGGTAAGACAATTACTCTTATTGTTTGAGTATGTTTATGCAAAGTAGGAATAAAGAGGTCAAAAGAAATCAACTTTTTATTCTTTCAGGAAATAAACCCCCAAAGCACTCAGTTTAGACAAAGGAAAAGTAATCAAAATCAAAACAATTACTGACTAGCTGTAACATCTCATGAAGCCCAAGCTTCATTTGTTTGGTTAAGAAAACCATGACCCAACACAATGTATGAACCAGCCGGTCTGTTTATTTAGCTCATCTCATCTCTGTTCTGCTGGTATCCCACCATAGTAGGATACTGGCATGTTTAGGAAAGGAACCCAAATACAAAAATGTTAATATGCCAGCATTAAGAATCCAGAAGGCAATAGAACTTTGGGGTCTCAGAAGCAGAGAGGAACAGTAAACATTTATGCTCATCTATTTTTGTAAAGGAGAAAATTGTGCTTAGCCATGGACCTGAGAGGGAGGGACAAGCACTCTGTCTGTGACTGGCAGGTGAACACTGAATGACTTGGAGTTCTCTGTGCTCGGCCAAAAATATCAGCAAGTGTTGACTGGATGATAGTTCTCTGTGTGTTCCTTACTTGTGAACATATGACCGTGCTTACAGCATCCCGATGTCTGAATAGATCAGAAAATAGTCAAATATCCCACATTAATCTGGGGTGCATTTTACAGTGGATTCAGAAGGATTGGGAGATGGACAGACTGTCAAAAGGAGAGAATATGTAGCTCCAGCCATTCTAGACTTTGATCCTTTCAGCCCACCCAAAAATTGGCATGGAGCCTCCACAAGAAGCGATTCCTAAGAGAATGAGGATTGCAAAAAAAAAAAAAAAGGTTGCCCATGCCTGTAACATAGGGGAGACAGGAGACATTACACATTTGGAAGATGGGCAGAATACTTTAGATAATATTCATTTCTATGCTTATACAAAAAAGTTTTAGTACACCTTTTCATATACAGGGAGACAGATCCAACATGACTAAAAAAGCTGGGAAACATTCTAATTTGCATATGAACTCCAAAAAGAAACATCATAAGACATACCATTTGCAGAAACACCTACTTTGCATTTAGATGTGTTTTTCCTTTAGTGCAGTATGGTGTACAAACAGTTCTTTACGATTCATTAAAGATGCACAAATCACTTCCAGAAGAAAGGGACAACAATATCTGGAATATCTCAGAAGTGTTTTAAATACCTCAGTATCATTTTCTCCCTGGGGAAAGGCTACAGCTGAGTGACAGAGAACAATCTTGGCTCATAGAAACAATGTATTTTCCCAGGAACACAATGTTGCTCTGCTATGCAGTCCTGGAAAAGATAAGAAGTTGCAGACTGGTCTCTCATCCAAGTGATGACCAGGCCCAATCCTACTTAGCTTTTGAACCTAGACAGGACTGGGCAGATGCAACAACATGTTGAGTGCCTTTTCAAATAAGATTATGGAATTCTTGGATAAATCAAATTCTCTTTTACAGTGGATTAACATTTGGGTGCTGAGAAGAGGGGAAAGGAAAGGAAAATAATAGCATGTTGCTATCAGGTATTTGTGCATCCTTTAGAAGTGAGAGACTGCATTTAAAAAACTGACAATTCACAACCTTGAAGACAATAATCCTTTCAGTATTCTGTGTAACTTTACCTCTGCTCCGTCCATGTGGATTCCTGTGGATGAAATGATTTCCTATAACTAAGTCAACATGACACATTTACTTATGGTTAACTGAATGCAACCCAATGTTCTAGTTTTGAATGACACACAGAGAACATCACTGAGCCACAATTTAGTCAATGCATTTTAGCTGAACAGCTATGCAAATTCAGTGTCCATGATAGCTGGAAGTGTGATCAAGAAATAAGTCAGGAATGCTCACAAAAGTGATAACAAAAAGAGGAAAAACAAACACAGCTCTCAGATCCAGAAGTCAAATAGCCATTATCTAACACAAAAACAAACTCAAACATTAATCCATCAATGACTACTAAAAACTGAGGGGTTTGAAGCCAGAGAAACTCCAGAACCACACCCAGGTTCCAGCTGCATATAGTCAAGACAATTCCTTCACTGAAGAGGGCCTTATCTCATGTAGGTCTTTATTCATCAGATGGTCTGAGTCTCAACCAAGTACTTCTCCAGGGGGTCTAAAATTTCACCTGCCCTGTACTTTCTGTGGCTAATTAGTGCTCTTCTATTTTTATCCTCTGAATCAAAAATGGGGTCCTTGGTCACGTGAAGATCTGAGCTCAGAATAATGGCTTTTAGAGTCCTGAATCTCCAGGATGTAGTTCAGAATTTGCCCTCCCAAAGAAGAGACTTCGTCATTTCTAGCAGAGTCATAACACTATGTTATATACTATACAATAGCTCCATAAAACAACAGCAACCTGAAGCTTGAAACCTTTCCAAGACTTTTGGGAAACATTTGGAAGGGACACAATTCAAACATTGTCTAACTAGGGGAAAAAATTGAAGAATTGGGAGCCAAAATGTAAGAAGAGGAAATGGTAGCTGCTTCTGTGCAGAACATAAAAAGGAACAGCTGCAGGGAAGGCATCAAGTTCCATGCCACTCTGAATTTTCAAAAGAAAGAAAAACTATTCTGAAACATTCATGGAAGTGTGCTATTTCTTTTAAAAGAATAGAACCTGTTGGAAACAGGTTGCTATTTTACCTCAAGTCAAGTTTTCAAAGGGAAATCAGCCAGTTATTCTAAACCTTGCTTCAATCTCTAGCAGAGAAACTGAAATGTAATGACATTTTTCCCTGCACCATCTGCGCCTTTAGAGAGAAGGAGGCTGATGCCGGGGCCTTCCAACTGGAGGAGGCAGATTTGATTTATTAAATCTCTGGATAAAAGGCAAGATAATAGGAAATGATCTGAAGCTAAAAGCTGCCCAAAATAAACACAAAAACACCACAAAAGTGTGAGATTTGATTAGTTGCCATAGGCCCCTTACTTTTGTAAAAATCAGATATATGATAGGTTTTACTGCCATCTCGTGGGTAGTATTGAAACATCTGGTCTACTAAAACCAAATCTGTTATTTAATCTTCTGGGCATTAGAGTTTGTTTTGTTTTAGCCATATTCAAGATCAAGGTTTGGAGAGTGTTATCTGTGTGCTGTTGCAGATTGTGTAGGAATTGTGCATTCCTTTGCATGCTGGCTGAGGAATTCTGGGAGTTGAAGTCCACACATTTTAAAGCTGCAGAGGTTGAGACTAGCAAAATCAGGAACGATCTAGTGTCAGAAGCTGAAGACTCTATTTACCCTATTTCACTTGCATGGCTTTCCCCTTTACTTCTGGTCTAGCACTACTGCCCTAACCTGGCACAGGAGGCACCATGACTTTTACACATTCTTGGGGTATCCAGGAGTCTGTCTGTGACAAATCCTCTTCACTGTAACATATCTAATCAATCGTTAAAAGGAGTCCTTTGGTGCATGCCACAAAATACTGACAGCTTCCAGCCACCCTATAAAATGAACCTTCTCTGTAGTGGTGCCAGAAGTCTGGAAGGGTCTCTATCCTGACCTTAGAAAAGTACCTAGTCAGTTTTAAGCGACTGTTGAAGGCCACCCAGCCTTTCCAGTGAAAACAGTATGAAGTTTTATTTTTCTTGTCTCTCACCCCCTCCATATTAACATGTTTCTAAACTTTTTAAATTCTGTATTAATAATTTTGAGATCAGATTTGTATGGAAAGAAATTGAGAACTGTAGCTCTACTTCACAAGCTGCATTGATTACCAGTCAGTTTCCAGGTGCTCCTTTGTGGCATCCTCTGGGACATCTTTCTCCAACCATTTCTGCCCAACCCGTAAGATCTGGAAGACACGTGTGCTCTGGGTCCTTTCAACAAACCACCATCTTGCGAGCCTCTGGGAGTGTGCCCTCACTGCTCCTGCTGGTCCTGCTTTCTGGAATAACATTTCCTGCAAGGCCCTTTAGGCCCAACCTGTTAGCTTCTAGGAAAGCATTACAACTTGGCTTTTCTGCCAGGCTCTGGGTCAGACAATTTGTGAACTCACTTGAAGGGTTGTTAACTAAATTTTGAGTGAATTCACAAATGTGCTATCATTGTATTTGATCCTGCACTATTTAATTACGTCTTTAACAAGTATGCTGCAGAAATTAGCCAACCGTATTTTAGGCATGAGTGTAGTTAAACCCAGGCAGTGTACTTAGGCTGTGTTCGGAGCATCATGTGAACTTAAGCAGCCAGGTTAATTCAGTAAGCATGCTAGACTAAAAAAATGGTTGGATAATTTCTGCCTCAGTGTTAATAGGGTGTGTAAATAATTTCAAATGCATGTTCAGAGTGCCCCATTTGAGTGCAAAACAGCTATTTTGGGCATCAGATGGACTGTATCACTTCGGAAATGTTTTGTACTTCAACAGCTGTTTCATTTTCAAAATGCTCTGTTTTGATCCTGGAACGTTTCCAAAATGATTAAACCAGCCCATCTGACACTCAAAACAGCTGTTTCACTCTTGCAAACTTGAAACAGGACATTCCAAGGTCAACATGGACTGAATTTGAGACGTTCTGCATAAGCCTAATTCTTCTACTGTCTCTGGCATCTTGGGAATTGAATCTGGGCTTGGGGCATATGTTTCCACACTCAGCTTTAGAGTGTGGCTAAGAGCTTTGTGCAAATTGTGGCATGCTATCTACTCAATGGGTACAAACAGAAAACTCACAAATGAAGACCATAGAGTTTGTTCTCTCAATTTTTATTTAAATAATCTTGTATTTTTCTAAAAAGTATGAGTAACAAACTAAGAAGCATTCTTTACGTTATCCATTCTAGTTCATATTTATGACATTTTACTGGTGAAAAAAATAAATAATAAACTCAACAACTGAAAAGATTTTACAAGGCTTAATGTAAGTTTTATAAGGCAACTGGGCAAATTCATTAATAAAACAACTAAATCAGAGTCTTATGCATGAAAGAAGCTATCTTTGAAAAAACTTTAAAATACACCGAACAAAATATCTCATCATGTACTTCCCTGTCTTGGTTCAAAAGGCCTGTTTCCTTCACTTCAATGTAGACAGCATTCAAGACCAAATACATTTGCACATACCAAGAAAGAGAAAGCTTTATAAACTTCAAATCTTTAACATGTAGTGTTTAAGGAGTCACACTGACAGTACAATCGTAGACATATTTACCTTAATGTAAAACTTGCTGAGTTTAGTGGTAACTGACTTTCTAACATTTTTTTTTTCATATTCCAGTTTTTGGAAAAGGAATATTGCAGCTATTTCAGATTCAAAGCTACAGTAGGTTCAAATAATACACTATTCAGTAACCCACAATTAACTGTGATCAAACATCACAAACACACCTTATAATAGCTTAGCACAATGTGTCAAAACCCATCAATTCCTAACAATATTAGGGTGTGATTTATTTCATCCTTGTGATATGTTTCACCCTCAAATTGTGATTCCATTTGGACTGGAACAGTTATGAATAACAATCTATAACCTGAGGATTAAGGGAACTGAAGTCCAAGATATCTGGAGGTTACTAGGTATAAACCTCCAGTAGAAGACACAATGATATCCTGAGCCCCATTACATTATCTCTGCCTCCCACCCACCCCATTTACTGGATGTCCATACACCAAGCTCGACCAAATTGGGTTTTCCAATTCATCTGTTTTTCATTGCTTACATGCTAAATAAGGAACAGAAGCTTAAACTTTATCCTACTATATACATTGTAGCTAAGTTCATATGACATCATTATGCATGAATTATTAAATTACCCCAGTTTTCTAGGTTCATATGACACACTAAACCAAAAACTAATGGTAAGGTCTGGGTTTGTGCAATACACTAACTTAAAATGCCCTGGATAGTTTTTGAATCAGTGTGTCATATAAACACAGATACCGTTCACACATTACATCAAGGAATGATTTGCTGACTAAATCAAAACAGCTACATTTGCATAACAAAAACAAGCTATATTGGTTCATCATGCTGAATAAGCCAAACCTTTACATAAAGGAATCAGTTCTATGCTATGTGAGTTGCTGCAGTCACGTTTATAGCCAAAAGTATTCAGGCCAAATGAAAAATCCCTCCAAAACATTTTATGTCAGATGTTGTGCTATTTTGACTAACCAAAATGAATGATGGTATAAAGTGCTAGTGTCATCTTATTCATTATCCCAAGCACAGATTGTTCTTACGTAAAAAAAAAGTCTCTCTCAAGTCAACTTCGATACCTGCTGATTACATGGTTGTGTCTACGTCGCTGTCTTTGAAACAATACAGAAGTAGTTTGCCACTGCCTAGGATGTTTTCCAAATCTAGTTTACAGTCTTAAGCTTCTCTGGTGGCCTCCCATCCAAGCTTTAACCAAGTCTTATGCTGGAACATCCCTTTAAGTACAAAGGAATATGTCCTTCAACTCAGTTCAATTCAAGAACTAAGCTAGGAAGAAACCTTATAGTGTAATCATTCTCCTCATCATAAAACCTTTCCACTCTAATAATGGGATTGGATTTTAACAAAATGATCAGCAGCCGAACTTTGTTCTACGTCACAATATAGTTTTATAAAAGTTGCATGATTTTACAGAACAAATTGTTGTTAAGACGGTATGCACACAACTTGTAATATATTTATAGAAACTTTTCTATCAACCATCAATAGTTAAGATATTCCTAGAATACCCTACTTGGATTACAAGAAGCAGAAGCTTCTTGTAGTAATTGATGGTGAATGTGTAGGTTGGCTTTGTCAGTCTTCCAAGAAGGCAGCATCAGAAGTCAGCATCTAAAGTAAATACCTTATTATTTGCTTTAGCCATAACTGCAAAACGTTGATACTCTGAAACCCTCCTCTCAAAGAAATTGGTTTTTCCTTCCAGTGAAATGTTCTCCATGAAGTCAAAAGGGTTTTCTGCTTGAAAGACCTAAGAAAACCAAACTTATTATTAAAACACAGCTACTGAATGAGGCACTCCAAGGACAAATCAGTCTTTGGTGATTGCTAGAGAGCATTTCCACTTAACCTCCCTCAAAAGTTTGGTTTCTTCATCTTTGACTGATAAGGATGACCAGGAACAAGCCAAGATTTTTCAAGTTTTTTACAAGCCTTCAATCTGTAAGGATTGACAGATCTTTCTACTTTGCCTTCTATATTCACATTTTTTCAAGCACCACTTGTTCTATCACATTTCCATGTCAGTTTGCATTTTTAAAAAAATACATGAAAATTCATAATGTTTTTAAATGCACAAACATTTGTATACTTTTGTGTGCATTTATCTCTACTAAGCATTTGTATATTATCTTTGTCTTCAATTCTCTTTCATTCCTTGTATTGTATTGTATTCAGTTTTGAACAAAGAATACTGTGAAATTCAAAGAAATGCAAATTAAGTTGGTTGGTATTAAACTGCAAACAAAACAAATTTTGCCCCACCTCTACTTATCTGTCTCTATGGTTGCTCCTTAATCAATATTATTTCCCCTGCACAGTTGCTGCCTATCTATTTTCAAAACTTTTATAAAACATATGAAAAACCTGGAATCAAAATCCCAATATAGTACTGGATTTTATATAATACCGTATTCATAATGTAGACATAACACCAAACCCCACATTAGCTGTCAATCTCTCTTTCTCCTGCATTGCAATTTTCCTTTTATTTCTGCTGCTTCCCAAAAAACGCTCATTTGCATTAGACAAACCAGATGGGAACAAACTCTACAATGCCAACAAGAATTGTCAATCACTTCAAGCCTGCTTTGGATGAAACAGTAAATAATTGTTTGCCAAGAGCATGGAAGTAAAAGTAGGATATGGAAGGAGTTAATATGTGAGCCCAAGTTTTCTAACGGCTCGCTGACATAGTGCCAATATTGACTTCTTTCTACCGTTGTTTCAAACAAGCTTATATTGTACCACACGTGTTCTGAAGGATGAACATGGATGTGTCATAGCCACTAACATTTACCCAGTTCAACATATTAAAATTATTATTATTAATAATATACTGCCTGATTCCCAACAACTCCTGGCAGTTACAAGTAAAAACATTAAAAACGAGAGAAAAGTACAATCTTTTACATCTCTATGTAACAATTAACATCTCTATGGCATTTTTCTGTGATCACAACCGAGTTGTGGGGTATCTATCTTCTGAAAGCCTCTTTGGTACCTTCTCTAACTTTTATTCTATAGCTAAGCTTTGTTTTAATCAGACAAGGTACTAATTTATATGATAAGCTTTAATGATCAATATTTTGTTCGGTTTTTATTTATTGCTGTTATTTTTCAAAATTTACCTTTGCCCGTTTTGTTCTTTCCAATTCAACAGAATGATGCAAAAGTAATTATGTAAAGGGGGCGGGGGCTTGTTCATTAGCCCATCAGCTCCAAAACTGGACAGAATAGGACCAAATTTGCTATGGAAGGGAGCAATCAGTCCAAATACTGGCTGTACCTGGACAGGGTCAGCACGGAAAAAATCCCCCCCCCCATTGTTCTAAGCCCCCTTCCCTCTTCCCTCCTGGTCACGTGGAACAGAATAGATCCTATGCCCATCCCGTGCTTCCTAGCACACACGTATACACTGCCACCACATGAGGGGAGAAAAGAGACACACACAGATGCAACAAGTTCCTTCACTACAGTACACAAAATAAAATACAGATGCCTGTTATGGCTATAAATGGAAAGGCACTGGAGAAAACTCCAGACGCTGTGCTTTGCACCCTTTCCCTATCACGATAAAACTACTTTTAAATTACTTAGGCCAGCCTTCCCAAAAAAAAGTGCCTTTCAGATGCCCTTCAACTCAGAATTCCCGTGAAAAGTCATGTTGGTTGAGAATTCCAAGCCGATGTCTTAGATAGAGGCAGTCCTCGGGTTAAGAACGTCTGATTTACAAACAGCTCGTAACAGGCTGCCTATCGCTGCCGATGAACCACTGAAGGCATGTAATGTTTTCATGAACCGCTGAAGCCGCACATTTTTAATATACAGCCTGTTTACAGCGGCTTTCAGTGGTTTGTGAAAACATTGTGTGGCTTCAGTGGTTCATCGGCTTAAGGAAGGAGAACACTGTCTGTCATTTTTAGTAATTGGCAACCTGTTCGTAAGTACGAGTTCCGATTTACATACAAATTCAAGTTAAAGACAAACTTAGGAACAGATCTTGTTCTTAACCTGCGGACTGCCTGTACCTCAAGATACCAAGCTTGATATAGGCCATTGTGAAGTTTGGCTTTTCCACCTGTGGAAAATCGGGATGTAAGCGTTTTAAAATAAAATGGTGTTAAGCTTGCAAGTATGCAGTAAATTGCAAGAAAATATGATAAATGAAATAGGCATTAGCTTTACTTACAGATACACATACTACTCATACACAAATGCAGAACAAATATTATTTTTGTTGCAAGACAAAGTTCAGACACTACCTTGAAACAGATTTAGGCAAAGTTCTCTTCACAGACCAAAGTTCAGTGCAAATACTTTCCTGAGTTACTTTACCTTAGGGAAACCCAGTTCCAGGAGTAACCTATCAGCCACAAATTCAATGTATTGTTTCATCAGAGTGCAATTCATTCCAATCAATCTGACAGGCAAAGCCTCTGTCAAGAACTCCTGCAATATTAGGAAAAAGTGAAATTATTTCAGAGGAATACAAGAATAATTTCCTAGTTTGATTCACATGTGTAACATAAAATAGAAGCTATTATACCATCAGAATTCTGGAACTGTGAGTCATTGTGATGTAGTGCTTAATGTTGAACAAGGACCAGTGAGATCTGGGTTCTACTTCCATAAAGCCACAAATTTTATTTGGCCATTATGAAAAGTTTCCACCAGGGAAACCTACATATATCCTACCAAAGCCTTAGGAGCAGCCCCAGAAACCTCTAAAAGTTGCCACAAATTATAATTAAAATTAATTACAAATTATTGTTAAAATTAAAAATTAATCACTTTAATTGTGGCTTATAAACCATGGTTTACGGTTTAGGATATTGTGTGAACTCAGCCAATTGTGCCTTATTCATCAACCAGTGGCTTGACCTTTATACAGTGCACTTTGGAATAATCACAGCAGCAAACCACAATGGATATAAAACTTCAGCAGGGCTGTTGTTTGCATAACACACTAAATCACAACTAGTCCACCACATTTTAACCTATAGGATTTGTCACATTATGGTGTATGTTGTGCAAATTCAGATTTGTACATCATATTTAAGTTCATCATGGGGCAAATGATTTTGCAAACACAGCCTACATTATTTTGAGGTTGACCACAACTTTGTCCTGGCACAGATGTCTGATCTCCTCACCTTTTCAATTTCGACTGCATTGACAATTATCTCTTTCACCCTTCCCTCCAAAGGTTTATTCACTAAATACTGAAAAATCAGGCAAGCAAAGTCACAGTGAAGCCCCTTAAAGAAATAAACAGGACAGAAACATAAGAAATTGACTTATCTCTTTTGAAAAAAGAGAGCCACAGTTTTCATGTGAGAACTCCTTTAAGGGTTTAGAGCTTATTTTTAAAAGTTAAAATAATCCATCAACAATGCACATTAACAGCAATGATTTAAAATGTTTTTTTAAACTTAACATAAAATAAGATATACATTAATTAATCTTATCTACATCTAAGATGTCTCAAGATTGACATCCCTTGCCTAATTCACAAATATGCTTTTCACACCCATGGAAATCTACTCCTTGTAACTACAGTTTATACCATTTCTGATTCAGAAGTCATATTTATTCCCCACCCAATATCTTAAATACAAGAGCAATATGTTCTAGACTGGGAAAACTCAATTCCCATCCTACCAAAAATATTAGTAGGATTGGGAAGTACGTGTTTTCCCAGTCTAGAATATATTGCTGTTCTAAAAAATATTGGTAGGATTAACAATATTCTTGTTAAGCAGCATCCTACTGTGGTTTTCATTTTAGATTTCAATGATGTATGAATCATCATCATCATGGTAATAATAAATTACACTTGCAGGCTGTCCGACTCTCAACAAATAAGAGAGTCTATGGGTAATACTGCTTCTCTGAAAGCATCAGATTTAATCTTACTTAAAACATTTTTGCCCCACACCTTACTTCATCTCTGCTAATAAGTTCATTGGAGAAAGTAAGGCCTGGCATTAACCCTCTCTTCTTGAGCCAAAATATTGCTGCAAAAGCACCAGAAAAGAAGATTCCTTCGACAGCAGCAAACGCAACCACTCTTTCACCTGTTTCAAAAAGATAAGAAATTTTCTAGTTATCAGACAATGAATGAACCTTCTCCAAATTGTAGAAAAGAAGAAAACAGTCTTCTTGAACATATGAATGAACATTTGCAGGTGTCAGGATTCAGTCTGGGATGGAAGTCAAACTCCCTGACTTACAACGCTTGTTGTCTGTCGCTAAATGCGTGTTCGTTGATTATACTTGTTCCTGGGGTAGGACATATTCATATGCTTAGAGGAACTGTCTGTAGCTTCAGGGAGAAAGATACAGGAAACAACAGTTTCTAACAACAGCATGGGACCATCTTTTGAAGGGGTGTATGTGTGTGTGTAAGTCAAAGTCCAGCAATCAACAGCTGGCTTCTCATCTACTGAATCTGACCTTTTGCAGATTACAATAAGAGCAGGATCCTTCCAGTTATTATGGCATCCTTGACTTTTCAAACAAGGACAGCAAAGAGGGAAACGAAGCCTCTGTTCACACAACACACATACCCACAATTAACTGAACTACTGTTTAGTCAATTAACCCAACTTCATGGGTTCACATAACACACTGAACTATGAACTAATCACAGAGGCTGAGTCAACATAATGCACTAGAATTATAGTTTGTGGTTCAATGTGTGTCATATGGATACAGTTCATACTTATTAACATGTTCCAGTCTTTCCTCTTTCTTCAAATGAGAGGGGACTGGGGGAAGTAAAAAAATTCAAGATGGTGGCCACGACTGCACAATCAGAGCCCTACCTCTTTTATATTTATGTGTGACGTTGCTGCATGTACAAAAAGGGCAGAGCTCTGAGTACACAGGCAAGGCCACCATCTTGACTTTTCTGAATCCCTTCCTATGGACGCTTCTGCTCTGCTCTCCTCAAGTCTGGAAGGCAAGGAAAGTAAACATAGCAGATGAGAAAATATAGATGCTTTCCTCCAGTCTTTCTTTTCCAGCAGAAAGTCTAAGATTAAAATCATCCTGGAAAAGGGAATTGTCCTCTTCAATTGCACTCTTAGCCTTTTCCACTTAGCATATGACTGGGTTCCTGCAGTCCACTTTCCTATCGCTAGAATATCCATTCCTCAGAATTTCCCAAAGCTAATGTTCAAAGCCCAGTGAATCCCATTCTGATCCACAGCAGCTTCCCCCACCCCCACCTCATGAAGAACACATACAACAGAGGCACCTACCAAAAGTGGCCTCCCTGTCTGTTATCCACCTGAGTGCCCAGTCTGCTTTCTTCCTGACACACGGCATTGTTTCAATAGCATTAAATAAAAAGTCCCTGGGGAGGGGGAGGGAATGGGGGGAAACCAAAAGATAACAAATCTGAGCAGTGAGACTGACACAAAAGCATATACCAATTGCTCTGAAGAATTAGGTTACATCCAAGGGTAGCAAGAGTGCTTTCAACACAGCACCTGCATTTCCCACAGATACATGATACAATGATCTTCTGAAACTACACAAGCATATGGTAGAAATCTCTTCTGCAGTTTGAGCAAAGGTTAAAAACCAAACATTTTCCAGGAATTGCTATTGCTGTCTAAACACAAGAAGATCTCTATATACTTCACCGTGGAAGTGACTCACCACATGAGTGACACGACTATTTTAGTTCTGAACGTTAAAGCGATTTTTCCATTTGCTTCTTTTCCATTTCTCCAGAAGAAATTAAAAGCATCTGCTTCCACTTCTAATGACAGCAGTTGGGCCCATTATAATTAGTAAGAATAAGCCAAGATCTGAAACTGCAATTTACTATTCATAATTTAATTTTGATTTCTTGAATTTGGATGTTACAGGAAATACTGGTTTGCTTAAAATCAAGTAGAGACTCTCCTTCTCATAAGTGTAAAAAATACAAGTTTCCAGTGATATAAGTTCTTGCAGTGGTAAACCATGGCCTCCCATTATACCTGGACCAGACCATACATGAAAATTTCACAAAGAAACAAATATATAAGTCCTCTACATAGTGGCAATACTTACAGTAATTACCTTTTCTCGGGATCTTTGATGTAAGTGTCTATTAGCAAACTATACATCTCGGAGTGAACATTTTCTATTGCTATCTGGAAGCCATAGAAACAGCGAGCTTCTGGGATCTGTACTTCTTGGCTAAAACGTTCTACCTGCCAATGAAAGAAGGTCAGATCTCTAAATGTTCTTCCGGGACCAGGTTCACACCCTGCACTAGGCCATGATGTCTTATATAAACCACTGTTCTCCCCCAAAGCTTCCAGAAGAGCATCTCTGGATAAACTGAATATGCTATATACCTGTATGAGAATCCCAGTGTGATTAGTACAAACTTCATGAAAGGTAAGTACTCACAGGAGTATACACGAATGCTCCCCGTGACAGACAACAGGTATGTCTGCTGTGTTCTGCAATGGCACGTCAGTACCATGGACTAGTTTATAAAGCTTTTATAACCATCATGCTAAGCATTTATTAATCTTATGGGCAAACATTTGTCAGCTAAACTATGTGAAAAACAGGTTTATCAGTGGAATACCTTTCCTGTGAAATCTGCAGTGTGTGTACAGGCATTATCTCATCATGCATACCTAGATAACAGTTTGTGCTTTGATTTCCTACTTTTTACACTAAAGTTCATGTAGTGATTAAACATGGCTTCAGCCTGATTCAGTGTATACAACCATGCATCATGCTAAACCAAAATCACAATTTATAAACCACAATAATGGGATTCACAGAACAAGCTAAGCCCAAACCTCCTCAAAACTGAAATGAAAGTCAGTATGGCTGGAACAGTTAAAAGAATATTCTGCACTTCCATCTGTTATCTATAATAATATCTCCCAAGCTTTCCTATGTTCTAATTCCTCTAGGTTGTTGCTTCTTAAACTTTTTTCTCTCAGGACCCCTTCCCACATTTAAGAATTATGGAGGACCCCAAAAGAGCTTTTGTTTGTATGGGTTATATTTATCAATATTTACCA